ATCTGGTGAGAACGACAAACGAATCTCTTCACCATGTACTTTCATTCGAAATGAAGTTCCCCCTAACAAAGTGTGAGGGTTTCTTTGAACACTGTTTTTATCCCCACTCAATCACTTATTCGCCTATCCTTTTTGAGATAAGGCATGACGGCAAAATTAGGGCATGGGAAAGGGTCTCAGTCTGTCTTTCTTTGACTAAATGGTCTCCGTCTGAAAATTTATTTTTCTGTAAAGAGATATTATTCTCAATAAGGCCAAAAGGAATAAATTTGTCAGCCGTTCCAACGCTTTAGTCAAATTTTCGCTATACGCTAGCCTAATACTTCTAATAATCATTGACTTCGAAATTTCAACCTTAGTCTTGTCATTATGGTTGGAAATAAAATTAAGCAGAGCCAACATATGTTGGCTTCCTATAACCATCTCTTCCTAACTTACCCTCTTCTCTAATGATGAGACCATCCATAAATAGTATGAACTTATTCTCTTCCTTTTTCATTATGAACCTAATGTTCCTTTCACGCTGGTTGAGTGAAAGTAGGAAACGATCTAAACTTTCCTTATAATGAGGTCAGATGACAAAATAGTCATCCATGTATCTAGCCAACAACCTGGGTGTTAGTATTGCCTCTTGCAGAAAGTATTTCTTCAGTCTTGCCTTATAATTTTTCGCCAAGATGAGAGCCAGGCAAGATCGCACCGCTAGTCCTTGTGTTTGTTCTTATAACTTACCATTGAAGGTAAAATATGTGGTACTCATACATAGGTTAATAATTCTAATAATGGAAGCTAGACTCAGCCTTATTCCTTGAGTTATCTCTAGATGCCCTTTCAAGTTTGTATCAGAGCTTGAATAGCTCCTTGCACAGGAATGTTTGTGTACATAGACACAACATCAAAACTTACTAGCTTATCCTCTTCAGAAATTGTCTGCTGATCTAGCAATTTCGCAAAATCATACGAATTTTTAACTGAATATAGCCAATAATTGGCAGAGTTCCTTATTTGTATGCATAAAAAACGTTAGATTTTGTGCATCAAGCTTTATTTATTATTTACAATTAATCTCAGAGAAAAACCCTCTTTGTGAACCTTAGGGAGACACTAGGCCGTGGGGGCCCTTGCATCTCTCTGGAGTAGTGAATTCATTCTCCACTTCCCCATTTCACCATTACTTACGCATACCTTAAGGGCATCCTTTAGCCTAGTCTTAGGTCTTTCCGTTGGATCTCTCAATAAAGACATATATGTGTTGGTTCTAATTAGTTCGTCTAGTTTATTAATGCCTTGTTCGAGCCTATTTTTGACCAAACCA